GTCTTGACCATGTCTACATGCCTAAATGCACTGAGTTGCCGCCATGTGATTGGCTGATTAGAAATTAAGTGTTAACGAGCAGTTGGACAGGTGTACCTAAAAAAGTGGCCGGTGAGTGTATGTGCCAAGTGTAAACGGTGGAATTGGTGAGTGTTTTGTTTGTTGTGCTAAGATTAGCCTAGCACTTCTACTAATGAAGTGTGTGGTTAGTTGACTGTCACCAACACTAACTGAAACCATACTAAAACCAAATATCCAGACTGGTTTTTGAAGGAAAATGTAAAGTGTTGTAAACATTTAATCTTTTATTTATTAGCACTTTTAATTAGTTTATTGCTATTTTTGACTGAAATATTCACTAAATGTGTTTAACTGAATGCACATCAGACAGTTTATATTTATTGGACTTTGATGAATGTGAAATGTTATATTTCTACATGTAATGATTGATTTTTGATGTATTTATAGTGCAGTTAGTGCTATTTATTTGAAGTGAATTGTGTGCACGCTGGATCTGATTAGATCTATTGAAGATAGTTGATATATTTGTTATTGAAACATTGGTCCTGTTCTGATACAGGCCAGGTGTCTGATGGAGCAGGCCTCGAGCCTACCTAAAGGTCATCACACTGTGTGAAGACTTCTACCTCTCTAGTCAAGAGGCTCTTTGTAGCCTGTGAACTCTTTTTACTCCATTGTTGTTTTACGGTTCCCTCCAACAAGGATCTGCACAAACTGCACTTCTCAAACCCAGCTGGGCTTTAATGAAAAGTATTGTTAGACTTAAAATATTATTATTGATGAAATATTTTTGAATCACTGAATTTTTGTTTTGATTATCTTGGATTATCTTGATTTATGTGCACTGTATTTATTTATTTTTGTTTACTTGTTTATTTATTTTGAATGGCTGAAATTCTGTTGTAAATTTTAGACATTAGTTGTATTATTGTAATCTTTTGCTTGCACTATAAATATGGCACTGATAAATGCAAAACCTTCAGTCTGTGTCCACTCCTTCTGAGAGTCGTAACCTGTCTTCTGATCAACTAGTCTATTGAATCTTTATTGGGTTTCAAGTATTCAGAACTTATATTTGCAGTTTATTGGTTTTAACATACACATGTGCTCTTCAGGAGTTGGGCTCTAAAGTGAAACCAACTGCAGTATATGTTTTTATCACTCAATGCCACACCCAAGCTCCAGCTCCTCCCCACCAGTGAGCTGACGTTCTGTCTGTAGTTAGTCTATACACCAGTTATTGGCATGGCCAGGGACCCACCCTCACCTGCTGCCAGGCATTCATTCACCTTGACCATACTTCTCCATGTGGAAGAAGAAACATGCTGATAAGGTAACTTCATAAAACTACTGTTACAATAATGTAATCTGAACCTGTGGAAATAAATACATTTTAAACTAGATGTGAAGTGGTGAACCCCAGACCCCAGGTGTGCTTCTTACCTTGATGAACTGCTGCAGTCTTCGATCTCGAGTTAAAACATCTTTGTAGAGTTTCACAGCTTTTGGGTGTCGACTGCAGAACTCGGAATAAAGCTTCTTCATGTCTTCTGCAGTCTGGCCTGAAAACTATAAAAACATAGATGTAGAATCTAGAGAAACACTGAAAAATCACAATCTGTTTAATGCTTCATTAAAAGAAGTTTATTGATTTTCTGAAAATAAGTAACATATGCTGGAACATGTTACAGATGTTACCAATCAGTTTGCACTGATGCAGGGACTGAGAGTGTACGATAGGTGGAGCCATTACTCTTAAATTTAAACTAAAATCAGATCTTTGTTAAATCCAAATGAATCAAAGCCTGTTTATCAGACACTGCACAAAAACTATGCTTCGTATAAAATATTACATCAGACGTTTGGTTCAGTCAGTTCCTGGTTTAACTTTTAGTGACTGTACTGAGGATGAGTGTGAAACACATCAAACGTAGATCCTTTAGATTGACGGTTACCTGTCGGAGCAGCAGGTCTCCAATCTTGCCAATAGTAAAATTGGTGGGGCTCCCCTCCACCAACCCATCCTTCCTCCTGTTCAGCAGCTCTGACAGGAAGTTGGAGTGGAGCTCCACCAGTTGTTCCAGGCAGGGGAAGATGGTGTGAACTACACCCGCCTCCAGCATGACCTCCTCCAGCATCCCTCGCCGGTACACACCCTCCATGATCCGCAGAGTCCGGACGTGATGAAACTCAGTCTGGATCAACTCTGAAACACAGACCAGAGTCTGAAACACGCCTGTGTCCACCTTCAGCCATCATCTGTGTTGAACCTGTACCACACCATGGTCCAAATGTCCTGCCTGTACCACACCATGGTCCAAATGTCCTGCCTGTACCACACCATGGTCCAAATGTCCTGCCTGTACCACACCTTGATCCAAATGTCCTGCCTGTACCACATCCTGGTCCAAATGTCCTGCCTGTACCACATCCTGGTCCAAATGTTCTGCCTGTACCACACCATGGTCCAAATGTCCTGCCTGTACCACATCCTGGTCCAAATGTCCTGCCTGTACCACATCCTGGTCCAAATGTCCTGCCTGTACCACATCCTGGTCCAAATGTCCTGCCTGTACCACATCCTGGTCCAAATCTCATGCCTGTACCACATCATGGTCCAAAGGTCCTGCCTGTACCACATCATGGTCCAAATGTCCTGCCTGTAACACATCCTGGTCCAAATGTCCTGCCTGTACCACACCATGGTCCAAAGGTCCTGCCTGAACAACATTATGGTCCAAATGTCCTGCCTGTACCACATCCTGGTCCAAAGGTCCTGCCTGTACCACATCATGGTCCAAAGGTCCTGCCTGTACCACATCATGGTCTAAATGTCCTGCCTGTACCACATCATGGTCCAAAGGTCCTGCCTGTACCACATCATGGTCTAAATGTCCTGCCTGTACCACATCCTGGTCCTATTCTCTGGACTGTATTTTGTCACATTGTCACAATAGTGATGTCCTCACAGTCCTGATGTCCTCACTATCCTGACGTCCTCGCACTTGATGTTCTCACTGTCATGACGTCCTCACTGTCCTGAAGTCCTCACAGTCATGACGTCCTTACAGTCGTGATGTCTTCAGAGTCATGACGCCCTCAAAGTTGTGACGTCCTCACAGTCCTGAAGTCCTCGCAGTCTTGATGTCCTCACTGTCATGATGTCCTCAGAGTCATGACATCCTTACAGTCCTGATGTCCTTACAGTCAAGACGTCCTCACAGTCATGATGTCCTCAGAGTCATGACGTCCTCACAGTCCTGAACTCCTCGCAGTCATGACGTCCTCACTGTCATGACATCCTCAGAGTCGTGACGTCCTTACAGTCCTGACGTCTTCACAGTTCTGACTAGTGTTGTAGTACTTGAAACCGGTCTTGGTCTAAAGACCGGTCTCAAGACCATTTTTTGATGGTCTTACTCTCGTCTCGGACTCGACAGAATTTGTACTCGTCTCGGTCTCGGACATTGAGGACTCGCACGCAGCACTCCCTGGAAAGTGAGCCGTGGTTCTCTGGGAGTGGTAAAGGATGTCTTCAAAATTGAAGTAAAACATTTGGCTACATTATTCATAAATAATATCACTGTAAAACAACAACAACCAGGAGAAATCGTAGAGCAACTTGTAAATTTGGCAGTGCTTCACTTTCAGAGACGGTGGGGACAACGGAGCCCGTTCTCATGCCCCCACATCAAGGTATTGACGCTTTGGGCTGGGACTGACCAAGCGTCAATAAGTTGATGCTGGGGGTACCCCCACCCCCAACGTCTGTTCTGTACGAGATGAGGTGTAGGAGGATGAGTGCGTTGTCGTAGTTTTTTACAAGACTAGGATTGCGCGAAACTAACCATCCCAGATCCTAAATTTAACTTCTATTAGCCTATCCCTGAACACAGACCCTAAAGTTAACCATTAATCCTGAGCTCTCATGTTAACCTCAGACGTGATGCAACCCGGAAAAGCCGCGGGCGGCAAGGACGGACGCGTCAACGTGTATGACATGAGAACATGTTAGACAACGTCAAACTTTTATCGTCACTAACATTAACAATCTGCCTCTGTAGCAAAATTCTTTCCTCTGCCCTCACACAAAGATTTAGTCAATATTAGCTCTGTATATTAAGTTAACCAAAGTGGGGGAAAAAGTATTTAGTCAGCACCAATTGTTCAAGTTCTCCCGCTTAAAAAGATGACAGAGGCCTATGATTGACATCATAGTTAGACCTCAACTATGAGAGACAAAATACTTTTTCACCCACTGTACACGTGTACAGAATACTCCATCTTTTAGGACACATTATTTTTTTCATCTGGTCTTGGTCTTGTCTCGGTCTCGCCCTCCCTTGGTCTTGGTCTCGACTTGGTCCAAACCCTAAAAGTCTTGGTCTTGTCTCGGTCTCACCCTCCCTTGGTCTTGGTCTCGACTTGGTCCAAACCATAAAAGTCTTGGTCTTGTCTCGGTCTCGAGACACTGTGGTCTTGGTCTTGACAATGGTCTCGGGTTAGGTGGTCTTGACTACAACACTAGTCCTGACATCCTCAAAGTCCTGACGTCCTCATGGTCTTGACGTTCTCACAGTCATGACGTCCTCACAGTCCTGACTGTCATGATTTGTCAGTTTTCACCTTGGTTTTCCTTGTGTTTCTATGTTCCCCAGTGTGTCTCAGTCCAGCTGCCCCTTATTTGTTTGATTAGTCACC